CATCCTCTATCTTCTCTCTTTATTTCTTTCTTTCTTATTATTTTGTATTAGGATCTTGTTATGTAATAGGAAACCTGAAATGAAAAAAATATGCTCTATTTAATTAAAATTGTTGAGGATTAATTTACATTTTAGGATTATTTTATATGAATGGCCTTTTATCATTATTTTAGGCGAGAAAATTAAATGTTGACAGATCAGAATAAATATCTTGTAATTTGAAATTTTGCACTGTAACCCCCGGCCCCAAGATATCTCAAAAGCAGTCAGCAAGATGTGACATGCTGGCCTTGTTCACAATCTCAAGGGTTAAGGTTTCGCTGGATGAATATTTGACTTAATCCAATTATACCTGACAAATCCTGTCCTGGGTATGATGATAAAATACATCTGCGTCCTGGGTATGACGATAAACTACATCCAGCAGCAAGGCCTCTGATCAGGAGGTTTTGAGGAACATGGAACCACCTCTTAATTGCTGGTGTTCCCAGGTCTATCCTCACACAGGGTGGTAGCATCTCTCAGGCTCCCAGCTATGGGCAAATAGTTAACCCCAAAACTGGCATAAAAACACTATGAAAGTGTAAAAATAGGTTTTAATATCAGAAATACTTTGTAAAAAAAATTATTACTAGCAATAAATTTTTGAAGAAAAAAATTATTACTAGCTATACATTTTTGAAGGAAAAAATATTACCAGAAATAGATTTTTTGCAAAACAAAATATTACCAGCAATAAAAATGTTGCTGGCATTAAATAGCCCATTGAGGTTGATATGCCGTAAAACAAAATAAACCAAACCAATCTAAACCAAAGAATACATATTCTATTCACACAAATCTATCCTAAAAATGTTGTCAGCATTAAATAATCCATTGAGGTTGATATGCCGTAAAACAAAATAAACCAAACCAATCTAAACCAAAGAATACATATTCTATTCATAAGAATCTATCCTAAAAATGTTGTCGGCATTAAATAACCCATTGAGGTTGATATGCCGTAAAACAAAATAAACCAAATCCTAACAAATCATGTAATGAATTTCATGTGGTGAATGCATATGCTTCTAGTTCATTTCATATTAATACAGGGGCCGCCAGGACTCTATCCTTAAACTTATATCATTTCTTATCTTCACCAGTGACCTTCCTCCTACCCCCGATGTCACCAGTTATCAACTAGAAATTTATCCTGATGACAACTATTTACTCAGGTCTTAGTAGCTAGTCTGATGGATCTAAGTAAAATTGGCAACTCCTCTCAAAAAGCACCTCCAATCAGTGGTTAATTTAGGCATGTAAATTTTAATATCTCCAAAGCAAAAATTGCTTTCATTTAATCACTGTAGAGAACCTTTTCTGCCTATCATCAACAGGCTTGATGCTAAATACCAAAAGAGCAACGATTTACAATTTCTTGAGTTCACATTTTTCACTGACACGAAGTGAAGCAATTATAACGACTCAATTGCTTCGCCTACTGCAACCAAAATTGGTTCAGTGTTGTTCCAGAAAATTTTTCTTAGAATCTATCTTGCACATTTAGAAATCTACTACTCATCCATGTATACCACATCTAGTCTGGTGCTTCTACTATATGTCTTGATATTCTTGCCAAAATCCAAAGCATCCTGGGTATGACGATAAATTACATCCGCATCCTAGGTAAGATGATAAACTACATCTGACAGCAAGGCCTCTGATCAGGAGGTTTTAAGAAGCATAGAACCACTTCTTAATTGCTGGCATTCTCAGGTCCACCCCTGCTTCAGGATGGTAGCACCTGTTAGGCTCCTGGCTATAGTTAACCCCCAAACTGGAGTCAAAACACTATGAATGTGTAAAATTAGTTTTTAATACCAGCAATACATTTTTGTAAAAAAAAATTATTACCAACAATTAAGTTTTGAAAAAAAAAAATATTAGCATTAATACGCTTTTGAAAAATAAATATTAGCAGTAAATACATCTTTGGAAAAAAAATATTAGTAGCAATACATTTCTGAAAGAAAAAATATTAGCAGCAATACATTTTAAAAAAAAAAAAATATTAGCAGCAATACATTTTTGAAAAAAAAAATATTAGCAGCAATACATTTTTGAAAAAAAAAATATTAGCAGCAATACATTTTTGAAAAAAAAATTATTAGCAGCAATACATTTTTGAAAAAAAAATATTAGCAGCAATACATTTTTGAAAAAAAAAATATTAGCAGCAATACATTTTTTGAAAAAAAAATATTAGCAGCAATACATTTTTGAAAAAAAAATATTAGCAGCAATACATTTTGGAAAAAATATTACCAACAATACATTTAAAAAAAAAAAATATTAACAGCAATACATTTTTTGAAAAAAAGTATTACCAACAATACCCAGAAAAAAAAAAAAAATATTAGCAGTAATACATTTTTGAAAGAAAAATATTAGCAGCAATACATTTTTGGAACAAAAATTTTACAAACAATACATTTTAAAAAAAAAAAATATTAGCAGCAATACATTTTTGGAAAAAAAATATTACCAACAATACATTTTTAAAAAAAAAAATATTAGCAGCAATACATTTTTGAAAGAAAAAATATTAGCAGCAATACATTTTTGAAAAAAAAAATATTAGCAGCAATACATTTTTGGAAAAAAAATATTACCAACAATACATTTAAAAAAAAAAAATAAAAATATTAACAGCAATACATTTTTGAAAAAAAAGTATTACCAGCAATAAAAATCTTGTCGGCATTAAATAACCCATTGAGGTTGATATGCCCTAAAACAAACCAAACCAAAATCCAAAGAAAGATCTGCAATATAATCAATCCTGACCTGGAATCTTGACTTAAGTCACTTTCTCAGTGATGTGATGTGGCTTCCCTCTGCTTTTTTTTACAAATATTTTCATGGCAATTGTTCTGATGAGCTGTTCTCTTTAATACCTCAACTGCATGAATTTAAGCATGCTACTAGATTGGCAATTAGTTCTCACCATTTTACTGTTGAACTAGCTTGATGTAACTGTCAGTTCTATTTTAATATTTTCTTTTCTTATATTTCTCACCTATGGAACTGCCTTTTGATTTCTTTCTTCCCTGTCACCTACAATCTTCAAAAGTCTAAATACAACATTAATTGTCTTTCTGAAACTTGTTCCTTCATTGTCCCTTTTTTCACTTCTCTTCACTAAAGTCTTCTCATTCACTTTCACTCCATGTAACCCACTGTGTCCTTGTGGGATTATTGCTTTGCTTGAGGTGAAATAATTTTTTTTTTAAGTTGTGTTGTTGGTCTTTTTTCACTGTTTATTTTCCCCCCACTATAAAAAAGACCAACAACACAACTACTTGTTTTATGTGTCATGTCTTTTCAGGACATAGTCGATCATGGTCCTCCACATCCTCCTGTCCTTTGTAGCTCTTAATAAGTTTTGCCTTTTTGTTATTTCACACAGAACCTGTTCTGCCATCCATTTTTCTCAAGCCCATTAAGTATGTCTTGCATTGCTTTCCCTTGTCCCTCTTTACTTTTATACATTATGTGAGTATCAGATTTTCTAAGCCTTCCTTCCTCATTATGTGTTCCAGAAATTTCAACTGTATCTTCCTGATGTTAAGTATAAGTTTCATTTTTGTTTCAATTCTCTCCAAAACCGTATCATGTTCGGCCCATGGTATTCTCAGCATCCTTCTGTAGAGCCACATTTCTGTTGCTTCAAGTCTCTTCTTCATCTTTGAGGAGATAACAAACAATGTTTATTTTTCTTTTATATTCATTCTTTTTCACTCTTCTTTTTTTCCTCCACTATGAGAAAGACCGACAACACAAAAATTAGCACACTGAAAGAAAAACAATTTTTTAAAACCAGAAAGCATTATTTTAATAATTAAAATTGTTACATCTAAGATAAAAGATACTTCATGAAGCAATAAAAATGGAAATTGGTAGTTCAATTTATTGGATTTGATTAAGAAAAAGAAACAAGATTTTTTATTTCATTGAACCAGACATGAGAGTGTTATCACCTCTTCTATCTTCCCTTTCTTTTTTTCTTTCTTTTAATCCTCTTCTTTTATGTGTCATGTCTTTTCAGGACGTAGGCGATTATGGCCCTCCACATCCTCCTGTCCCTTGTAACTCTTAATATGTTTTGCCTTTTTGTTATTTCACCCAGACCCTGTTCCGTCATCCATTTTCTCAAGCTCATTATGTATATCATGCATTGCTTTCCCTGTCCTTCTTTCCTTCTATACATTATGTGAGTATCAGATTTTCCAAGCCCTCTTTCCTCATTATGTGTCTCAGAAATTTCAACTGCCTCTTCCTGATATTAAGTATAAATTTACTTTTAGTTTCCATTTTCTCTAAAACCTTGTTGTTGCTCACATATTTGGTCTATGGTATCCTCAGCATCTTTCTGTAAAACTATATGTTGTGGAGTATTTTCACAGTGGAGACTTGTATTTCTAATAAGTTGTCCTAAATTAGGTCCGACATACAAAACGTTAGGAACTTGGAAAATAAGAGTCAATGGCGCAGCAATCTAGTTGTGATGGTTGGTACTTCAAATGTCCAAATCTTGACTGACGTGCTCAGCACCATTCTACCAGACTTGCCACTCCTACTTATTATCTATAGGAGAGTCCATTACCAAAGAATAGGTAGTATAATACTATATTTCTGTTGCTTCAAGTCTTTTCTTCATCTTTGAGGAGATTGTCCAGCATTCACTGCTATAACAGCATCTTTTTCTTTATTTTTTTCTTGCAATCAAAACAGAATTGGCCATTCATAATACACATGCTAAGTAAATAATCTAAGAACAAGCAGAATTAAAATATGTTATTATGATGGAGTCTTAGTCTTTAGCTGTGTTCAATTAGATAAGCTTTGGAGTAAAGGGCTTTAGAAAATCAAGAATATGTTTAATACACTACAGTATAATTTAGAAATAATGTCTTACATGGTTTCCTTTGTATTTCAACTTTCTATCTAATCAACAAATGAACAAGTAAATATATTTTTGAAATATGACCTTTCAGCAGCAATATTTCCCATCATTTTTTTAATTATCTTTTTGAAAACCTATTCTGTCTTTCAGCTGTGTTAATTGATTTTACAAACATCTTTCTGGTAATTTTCAGATATGCTGGTGGTACAACTCCTTGGGGTCACCCAAATGTGATTGGATTTGAGACACCCAGGCATGATGATGGATCACTCGAAGTCATTGGATTCACATATACATCATTGGTGAGTTGCGTTCTCCTTTCCAAAACCAATCTACGCTATTTCAAATGCCACCGATATTCAGAGAACTTAAAACGATTATTTGGTTACTTATTTTAGTGCATCATTTTGCATAAAATTCTTGCCACGTAACACAAACAATAGTGCTTTATTTTTTTTTAAATTAGTCATAAATGATCAACAATAACTTTATATAGCCATATGTCACTTATCTTATTACCAACTGAAACTGTTTTTACTGTTACGTAAGTAGTGAAGTAATCATTCTAAGTAACAAGATTAATCAAAATAAGTAGCAAAGTAATCATTCTAAGTAGCAAGATTAATTGAAATAGGTACTGCTTAATTGCTTTTGTTTTTATAAATACAAGTTTACTTGCATTACAAATGTTTGTTTTCTGCTACTCTTTTACAAAAGACCTACATTAGTAGTACTGCCTACCTGTTTTCTGAAATGGCACAAAATAAAGCAGAATTGTTGCAATGATTGAAAATGTTCCACTGATTCCAGAAAATGACTTTAATTTTAAAAGGGCCATAGATTTGGGGCAGCTTTCTAGGATGTTTTTTAAGTATCAACACAGAACTGGATGAGAAAAACGTTCGTGTGTAAGCAGTCAATTATATTGTTTTATATTGTCGTCAAGTTTTCCACATCAGCTAATCTCACATGATTTTAGTGAAATATGGAACAAAATCAGGATTCCCTTGAGGCATTTTTATCAACAGTACCTTTTTATAGCCATCCATCACTTATATTATTGCTAACTTAGACAGTTTTTACATTTTATATAAGTAGAGAATTAATCATTCTAAGTAACACAGTGAATCAAAATAAGTGGTCTGTAATTTGTTGTTTTATTAACCCATATCCTCCTGGCACCAGTTTAAACTGACACCTTTTTCCTTTCATATAAATTAAAATTTTTGTAAAGTGAAAATTTCAATGAAATATTTTAGAAAATTTTCATCTGAAATAAATAAAAATATGAAAATAGTTAAAATATAAGGGAAAAGGAAATCCATCACTTTAAACTGATACTAGAAGGCTATAGATGCTTATAATATTGCTGGCACATATGGTCCAGTGCTCCTGCTATATATCTAGAGATCTTTGATAAAATTCAAAGAATCAGCAATATTATTGGTCCTGACCTGGTTTCTGAGCTTCAGTTTCTTTTCCCACTGCCATAAAGTTGCTTCCCTCTAAATAAACGCTTTTGTGGTAACTGCTCAAACTATGATACCTATGCATTATATATTTAAGTGCATTTCCAGACTAGTGATGAGGTCTCCATCAATTTACAGTTGAGTTGGCTAGGTGTAACTCTAAGTTTTATACTAACAGTTTCTTTTCTCATGCAAAGGTCCTGATATTCAGTGAACTTAAAATGATTACTTGGTTACTTATTTTAGTGCATCGCTTTACTTACATTTATTGCCATGTGATGCAAACAGTAGTCAGTACATTATTTAAAGAAATTAGCTGTAAATAATCAATAGTGCCCTTTTTTAGTCATCCATCACTTATATTATTGCCAACTCAGACTGCTTTTACATTTATATAAGTAGTTAAGTAATCATTCTAAGTAACACAGTTAATTAAATAATTTGTTGTTTTATAAACTTATATCCTTCTGGCATCAGTTTAAACTGACACCTTTTTCCTTCCATATATCTAAATTATAATTTTTGGAAAGCAAATATTTCATTAAAATATTTCGGAAAATTTCCAAGTTTTCATCTGAAATCACAAAAATATGAGAATAGTCAAATATGAAGAGAAAAGGAAAGCCATCAGTTTAAACTAGAAGGTTAACGAGAACAAAAGATGAGTAATCAGGAAGGTAGTAGATAACGATTGACTTAAAACGATTACTAGCTTACTTATTTTAATGTATTATTTTACTTATAATTATTGTCACATGACGCAAACATTAGTCAGCACATTATTTAAACAAATTATCCGTAAATAATCAACAGTGCCTTTTTATAACCACCTGTCACTTATTGCCAACTAAGATTAAATAAGTAGCAAAGTAATTATTCTAAGTAACGCTGTTAATTGAAATAAGTGCTGCATAATTCATTGTTTTTTATTTTTTTAATACTCCAAGGACAGGAACTACCTAACATATTGGTACGTACCCTGATATAAACACCAACATGATCTGACCACATGAAACATTCTAAGAATAAACTATATTTACTAATTATAACTATCCTTTTTTTTTTTTCTTAGTTTGCAGTATTGATATATAAAAAGAAGACATTTATATAAATGCTTAAAAGGCTTAGTTTAGTCTGGCATGAGGCCACAATAGTTGGGTATCTTTTAAATGTCTAAAAGAAATGTCCAGGTTTAGCCTGGAAGTTCTGGCTAGTCTGTATGAAAAAATTGAAAAGAAAAACATCAAAGAGCTTTTAAAATGGCACCAATATTCAGAGAACTTAAAACGATTATTTGGTTACTTATTTCAATGCATAATTTTATGTAAAATTCTTATCATATGATGCAAACAATAGTCAATGTTTTATTTGAACAAATTAGCTGTAAATAATCAGCTGTTTCTTTTTAATTTTTCAGAATAAGTGCTGCATAATTTGTTGTGATTTCAAAACAGGTTTTATAAAGTATAGAAGGAGTAATATTGTTTTTGTTTTATAAAACTCTTATAGTTGGGGGATTTTTACATGTCAACCATTGTTTGGTTAATTAACATGGAAATTTGTATAGGGTACCCAATGAGGATTGAACTCACTACATTTTAGTAATGGTCAACCAGACTAACCTCACTAACACCTACATGCAACAAGGTTCCAAATAAGCATTTCTACATTATTTACATTATTTGGACTATTGTCCTCATCTTTGTCACCATATTTATCACAACGTTTCAGCCGTTGCATGCTCCGGCCTTCTTCAGGTGGTTGGAATTTCGAACTGAACCCTTTATTTTGCTCACTGGGGTAGACTGTTGGTTAGATCCAGTGACAGGACCCAAAGAGTGTGAGTTCAATACCCGGTTAAGGCAGTGGAGAACTTTCAGAGGGAAATTAACAGGAGATAACTGATAACTGACATCCATCAAACATGGCATGTGGAACTAGAACAGTCAACCCTAGTGAGCGAAATAAAGGGTTCAGTTCGACATTCCAACCACCTGAAGAAGGCCAGAGTGTACAATGGCCAAAACGTTTTGATAAATACGGCGACAAAGATGAGGACAATAGTCCGAATAATGTAAATAATGTACATAATACCTCATCTCAGAAATATAGACAGACTCTGAAGCATTTCTACATTTTTCTTTTAACATTTCACCCATAGGAAAGCAATAAAGCTACTAAGATGCAAGAGGTTACTGAGAGTGAAAAAGTCTGGGAAAGAATTTTATTGTGAAGAGAAAACAATAAAAGAAAAACAATTAAGAAGACAGAAGATAATGAGTAACATTGGATTCAAATTTTTGAATACCAAAGTTGATTGGAAATCATGTGGTCTGAAGAGAATTCTACAAGCGAAAAATGCAAAAAAAAGAAACTGTTATCATTGAATTTATGGGTACTTATTTGGTACAAATAATTGGTTTCTCTTCTGCATATTTAAGTCAGCCATCTGAAGAGTTCAATTCCATCTGGTTAGATTTGCTTAAATTATTCAAAGATCAAAGAACATTTTTATACAAAAGGTGAAGGTAAGCTCTAAGCATTGATGAAGGAATAGAATTCTTGACATTACAAGGACTGCTGCAGAAAATAGATATTTTTTGGCATGGTGCAGACTCCTGTTGCCAGACACAGGGTCTTCCAATAGCTACCTTCTTGACCCAGGGTAGCACTACTTTCTCAAAGCAATTGATAGACACCTCCATCTTGAGTCTGAGTTCCCATGCGAATATGAATGGAGGCATAACTTCACCATTACTAGTGATCACTCCAAACACCTTCATAATCACCATTAGACTCATCCAACTCTTTCTTAACCACCCTCTGCACTGTCTTCAGATTGACACCCAAACACTGAAATGTACATAATGGAGCTTCTGGTACAGATACCAAGTAGTAGGGCTTACTGTTTCCAAATTTCTGGTGGTGGGGTGAATTGCATCATTGTGCTCTTTTTCTCACAGATGGTGCCCAACTGACCCTACTATACTGTGCAGTCAAAAGAATCAAGAACAATGTGCAAAGTTAAAATATAAAATTTACCTATTGCACCCTGTAATTTTGAGTTCAATCCCTGGACTGGGCAGTGCACACTGAAATTCAATAGAAACAGGCAAACAATAACTGAGTAATACCAAATAAGAACTAAATGAAATATCCCTAAACACAGTCAGTACAATCACCAAAGTTAATCAACATTGAGCCTCATCAGTACCTAGATGGATAGGAATACCAGTTTTTGTAAGCTTGGATGTGCAGATGGTATAATGGTTAATCAAAGAAGCAAGTTCCAATTCCAGTTGAATTCATTATATTCACTTATGCATAAATACTCTTAGGAAAAGTATGAATCTACCTTTTCTCCCCCCAGCTATGGGTTAATTAGAAAGACTTGTATCACTAAATGATTATTTCCAAAAAAATATTCTTACAATCTAAAAATATTTTCTGGCTTTAAATAACCTGCAAATGGTTGATAAGCCATAAAAAACAAATCAAACAAATACTGATTACCTATACAGGCATGACTTTTAGATTTATTTACATTCTCTGGGATATAAATGTATAGAAACTACCGTGGACACAAAGTCAGGGATCAGTTTATACATTAATTGTCAGATAGAATTGATCCCTCACTTTATATCCACATTATTTGTTTATCAAATTCTGATTCTGTATGAATCCACCTCTTCTCCCCTGAGCTATGGGTTAATTAGTAAATTTTTTATTACTAAATCCTTATCTCCAAAAGAAAAAAATTCTTATAATGTAAAAACATAACATTTTCTTGATTTAAATAACCTGCAAAGTATTGATAAACTGTGAAGAAAGTG